CCAGGCTAGCCAGTTATTTAGTTTGTAGATTTCTTGTATCTAGTGTGTTGAGATACTGTAAATCTTGTTTGCTAATATTGAGAAGTATTTGTTATCAGTAGTAATATCTATATGAGTATCAAGTAGTCTTGTTAGTAGGATGCATATTAATATGTTACAAAGAATTTTGTTTGGTGTAGACCATGTTTTAACAGTTTGTTAGAATTGTATTAGAGTATTGAGTATACTCTACTTGGTGATCTGTGTTGGCATATTATGTATTTGCTTTTGTTACAGAGTTAGAGTAGCACTTGTATTTTGTGTATTAGTACTATCTGTTAGTGTTTGCCAAATAGAGGATGCTGCCTGTGTATTAGATATTGCATCGTAGATAAGGTTATAACTAAGTTTAAGTTTAGATTAATAATCTTAGAATATTTTGTGTTGTAATTTGTTTTTTGTTAGTATTGTGTTATTTGGGAGTTGAATAGATTATTAGAATCTAAGTCAAATCAAAGGATTTTGTGAGAGTTGACTTGTATTTTGCTGATATACTGTTTGTGTATGTAAAAGGTGCAGTTCTTTCTGTTTTTTGTGTTCAAGATACAGCCTGGGCATTGTATTAATGTGTTATCAGATTGATTAATAACCCAATGTCTGATTGTTACTATATTGTTGTTAATTGACGATATTCTTCCTAGCTTATCAGAGTTTATTTTGGCTATTGTCCAGTCTTTTTATGTATTGTAGTTGCATAGGAAGTATATGTGATTAAATTTTCATGTAGGTTTGAGTTAGTAAGATGTAGATTTTGAATGATGTTTGTTATCAATTTGTACTATTTAGATTGTCTGCCTCTTGGTATTTTTTGAATGTTTAGTGGTAAGTAGTTCCAGCTAATAGTTTTAGATTGATTCTGGTTTAGATATTGTTCGATGTAATAAAGACCTAGATTATTTAAGCTACGTTTAATCTTATGTGGTGTATCTAAATAATTAAGAATAAGATTAATTGAATGAAAAGATTGGTTAAGTGGAATTGGCCACATATTCTGTGGGTTATTCATAATTTGTATAGAGAATGAGTGAAGATTTTGAATTATTTTTGTTGTGGTAGTATTTTGTTCTGATGAAGTAGTGACAAAATTATTTTGTAGGAGTATGGAACATTAGTTGCTGCTGCATTTTGGATCTGTTACAATCAGATTTTAAAAGCTGATTTATTAAATTGCGGGTGATTAAGATATCTAGTTATAATTGCAATTTGTTGTTGTATTTAGATATCTTGAACTGTATGAAGTGAGTAAATATTGTGGTAGTATATTGTAGAGTTAGGTATTGATTTGGCGAGTTCAGCTTTGTGTTTTGTTAATATTGTATAATGTTAGATAATCTTATTGCATAAAGATTCAGAGAGAAAGATATTTTGAATTCAATATGATATTCTTGCTAATATGACTGAGTTGATTATATATATTGCTTGTTTGTCTGTGATTTTACTTTATATAATAACTTAAGTGCATTATTAACTTCTTCGAAGATAATTTTGTGTGATAGTGTATGTTTCTTAGTTATTGAGAACCAACAATCTAGGAATCTAAAAGCTTAATTGCAATGAATTCCTTTAATAATTATATGATCGAAAGTTATTTGAGGGTCTTTATCTTTTGTTATTGCTGTGAGTACTGATTTTGTTGGATTAACAGTAAAGTTAGCTAAGGAGAAGAAGGAGGTTGCAGTATCAATAATTTTTTCTAGTATTTCTTTAGATTCAGCTAGCCATATCATATCATCTATAAATACTAGTGTTGAGAAATTTGTTCTAATAGATGTAGTGTCATTAGTATTGTGGTTAAGAATATGGGTTTGGAGTGTATATTCTTAGTATAGTTTAGTAATTTTGCTTAGTAAGGGATCGTAATAGATTCACCAGAGTAATGGAATAATAGTTTCTCCTTGATCGATTCCATCATGTACGTTATATGGGTCTATAAGGCTAAAGTTTGTGATTATTTTGTTTGTTCTGTCTGTGAATAAGTTTATAATTAGATTTGTTATTTGTTTTGGTATATAGATTCTCTGTAGAGCCAAATGTAATAGTGGAAGATGAACAGAATCATAGGCTTTAGACATATCTTGTGATAGCATCTATAATTCTTTCTCGTTTATATATGCATCTTCTATAATATGCGTAAGTGTTTGAATTAGAATTGCTATTGAAGTATTAGGAAGTGCTACATAGTTGTGTAGGTATAGAGCTAGATATTTAGTTAAGATATTATTTAGATGTGTAGTAATTATTTTAGTGAAGATTTTCCTTGTATGTTAATAAGGGTTATCAGTTTGGTGTTATTGAGTTGTCCTGTAAAAATCAATTTTTTTGATATTGAGAAAATGTTGCTCTGTTTTCATATTTTTGGTATTGTTTGTAGCTGTAAACAAGAATTAGTTATTTTTAGCAATAGTTGTAGTGGAGGATCATTTAAGTGTTTTAGCATTTCATTAGAGATATTTTGTAGTTCTGTTGCTTTGTAAAGAGGTGCTTGTCATATTGTATCTGTAAGTTCTTCCAAAGTTATAAAGACAGTTATTGAATCAAGTTAGTTTGGTAAGATGTTTGGTATAGGATCATATTCTTCCTTCTAAAGGTGCTAATTTAGTGTATTCAGAGGATTAGATTTGGTCCAGTTTTCATAGTGGTCTTAGATTTTCTTTTTTATTTCTTTAGGTACTGTGATGATCTCATTAGGTAGCAAGATATTATGAAAGATTACTGGGTCTGTGTGTCTGTATAATATGCTGTTGATCATCTTAGTAGTATTGTTTGCAAAATTATTATATCTATTATTTATGTGTTGATTAATATTGTTGT